TTTTGTTTTGGCCTTGGCCAACTTTCCCAACCCAATCATATTCACGTGTCTGATGATAACATCAAAGTCTGAAGCATACTACATGTACGCGTCTTTGTTGTGATGCATGTGACAGTGAATAGAAACTGGGTACATGGTTTTTAATCTGCACTTGAATTTTCTTCTTTTCTTTTATAATTGAATCAATTAATTAATATAAATTTCTAAAAACCTACCACTTTGTAACACTGGGACCCACAATTAATAGAATGACCCACATGGATAGTACAACAGGTGGTAGGCATAGAGGATGTTTTGACAATACAACAGGCCAAGGTAACTATTATTTTAATTTGAACCAGAAAACTTAATTAATTAATACTGAATTGCTTCTTTGAACAAGCTTGATTGGAAATATCCTATTGGAAGCTGCGGGCCAACAAATTCGTGTTCATGCATGAGTCCCGTGATTGTACCATGTAATTTCTGGAAGGAGTAATGTTTTGAGTTTTAAAAAAAATCAGCTTTTTAACCCCAGTGACCCCATGATGACCTTTGACCCCAGTTTGGTCATGTGACATGTTGGGGCTGGGCTACTGATACTTTTGACAAAGTTTGGATGAAATCGGTCAAAATATGTACATGTAGGAGCAATAGACAATGTCATCATTTGTTTCTAACCAACTATACGGACTAACGGCAAGACATGTTGATTATTGAGCTGCTATCCCGCAGCTAAAAATAAATGGAATTCGACCAAGCTTAACAAAACATAAGAAACTTTGATTATTAAATTTGTCTAGTGCTGCTTTTGTTTTTGAAAAATGCTCAGGGACCGATTTCACCAAATGCTAAGACGCATCTTAGGAAGGGTAACTCCTCCTAATTCGCGAGTCGTCCCATCCTGGGCCCAGGATGGATTTCACCAACTTAAGACGTGTTCAACACATCCTAAGTTCCTTAGCAATGTAGCTAAACTCGTCTTAACTTACGATCAGTCTGAGGGTTGGCTTATTAATGCGTGTTTTAATTTGTATATCGTCTGGAAATCATTGTCATTAAAGGCAAGTGTCGGCCTACAGTAACAGGTTTGAGGACGAAAACTGCTGTAGAAACAGATTTGGAAAGACTTCTTATACCGGTACGCGGGTAGTTTTAATTTAAAAAAAACCTTATTATTTAATTATAGCCTACGCCAACACTTAATCAACTTTTTGATTTAAATAGAGTGATGAAACGGGGAGCAAGATTGACTCTATCATATCTTGAGTAGAATTACCTTGCGTGTGAATCTATTTATAATGCATGCGCGCGGGAGCGAGAGTGCGAAGCCAGGCACTGTTGTTGCGCATGCACACACACTGTACGAGTCGCTGGTGGCCAGCATAAATTGCATGAGCCTATTGAATCACTATCAGTGATCATACAGGATATACCAACTGAAAAGCATACATGTACGCTCGTTCGTGTCGTGGCGCTATGACTGTCATTGGTTGATGATCAGCATTATCAGCCTTGTGTCACAGACGTTACAAATTCAAACAACAATACAATACCACAAAAAGTAAGCTTTTAAGTTTTATTCATAAATACCTAAGACAGTTTACGCATTCCTATTGGTCGAGAGCCCGTCACGTGGCCGGTCTTAAACGGATGATAAAGACATGGCTAGCTGGTCTTAAACACTTTTCCAGTGTCACAATAAAATGTGGACTCCTAAAACTCCAGTGCCTCTTATCGTTTCATTGGTTGAACGTTCACAATCCTCACGTAGGCATGCGCAACACTACCAGGGAGTCAGAATTTTATAGTTCTAAATTCAAAACACAACGCGCCAGGTGCGTTCTGTGCGACATCGCGCAGAACATGATGCAAAAGCGTCAATCTCCATAAAAGGGTTGTTTACATCTTACTCGCCAGCTGAACACTCCATTATTTTGCAAGAGGGATGTTTCAAAAAGCATAAAGTGAATTTGTTGAACTAAATCGGGATGTTTTGAACGAATTATATGATTTTTTCTTACCGAAAATTATCCGGCTCGGGTAATTATCAGCACCCAGACTCTAAGTGGTCTTAAACAGAGTGTTAAAAACCTCCGAAGCACACATTTATTCCCTTAATAATCTACATGTATCACAATGATATATTTTTACAAATAAATGGACTGATAATGACACCATGACACTTTTATGTAAGTATTGGAGAGTTTGCCATGAAGCATTTGCGTGGTTATGCCGGCTTATCAACTCAGCATGTCGTGGTTGAGTTGGGTTTTTTGGTATGAAAATGACGTAATACCCAACATAAAACCGCGGTTTTAGTGAAAACCGCATGTTTTTTGTCAGGGTATACTGCAGTCTAGTAAAATGCAATACTGTCCAAGCCAATTAAACATTTGTGACTTTGACAAGTCTGATCAGCTGTTGCCAACTGTCTATGTCATGAATGGTCCAAAGGTTGAAGCAGAAATAATTGAGGATTTAGGTAGATTTCTGGAATGGAAAAGTTCTTTCTCTAATGTGGACTTGGGCAAATCTGCAGTATCACCCTCAGTCATTTGCGTCAAGAAGCTTTCAACTTTTCTACCTTCATCTGAGTTTGAGTAAAGGACTGAAGGAGGCAGAAAGATGGTGGGAGCGAAAAAATGCTGAAAACGGGTTCAAGTTCAAAGGATTTTCGTGGATTAAGGGTGGAAATTGGTCCGTAATCGGGCAGAAACAGATCCTGGAGGCACCTGGCCTGGTCCACTGGTTCAATTATCAAAGCATTTACATGGATTAGAGCTTAGTCTAGGGTGAGGAGGGGGGGGGGGCTCAGAAGTGACCCCTGACCCCCATTTGTCTGAGATTCAGACGTTCAAAGCAACAGTACAATTTGTTTTATGTGCCCCCACGCGCCAGCCACTCGATACCACCTTTACAACATGTGACGTCATTTAGTGCAGAAATTTGGCCAAAGCTGTTGATTGGTCAATTGCTGCCATATTTTTTTTTTTTTTGTACGACATCGGGTTGAAGACGCCCACTGAATAGTCAGAATCTGGAGGTCAAGATGCAGTGTAGCTGTGCATGACCTGAAAAGCATACATCGTAGACATTTGCATCCATAGACTAATTAACCCTTACCCTACTTGACCCTCCAACGCATGCCAATTGTGCCTCAAGAAAATCTCCTATGTTTTTTGCATGGCCCTCCAATATCTGCCATGTCATTTCAAGGGTAACTGGACAGGCACTCCAATACATGCCACAGAGAACAATGAGAGTCCTCTGATAACAAAGTGAGTGCCCCCAGCTGGTCAGTATCAGGCACCCTCCAGGGCCTCCAACTCCTGCCAATTGGAGCCTTCACTGCTACATCAAAGTATCCTCCAATAAACTGCAGCTGGAGGGCATTGGCATAACCAACTGACATGCAGTAAACTACCCTCAGAGAGTAAGGGTTAATACACGATTAAATTCTGTTCAGAAATTTATTCCCTGTGCTGTATCCCCAAAATAAGCACCAAAACAAAACAATAATCATGAACAATAGACCCTTGCATGGTAGTGTTGTGCAAAACCGACCCAAAACCGACCCAAAACCGACCTCGGGTCGGGTCGGGTCGGGTCGGGTCGGGTCAGTTTCGGTTTTGCATTTGCGATTTTCGTGTCAGGTTGGGTTGGTTAAGCCATTTTGGAAAAACCCTTAATAAAATAATGTAAACCAGAAAAATTAAACAGTTCGGAAATTCTCACAGTGCAATATTTATTACAGAGTCACTGTGCCCAGTAGGCCTACCACCAAAATGCAGTCTACCATGCACGGTTAGTAACATGAAGGCCCACCAGTTGGTCACGTTGTGAGTACCGTACAGTATGATTCAGTGACTGAGAGATGGTTTTCATGCGAGGCGGGTAAGTTCAGGCACATAAAAGTAGACACAGTTGCCCAAGCCAGATATTCGGTGGGGTTTTTTTTTTGGGGGGGGGTTCGGTTCGGTTTCGGGTCAGTTTGGTTTCCCTTGAATTTGAGTCCCGTCGGGTCAGGTAGGTTTTAGGGAGTTCAGATCGCTGGGTTATTTTTAAGGGGTGGGGAGGGGTTTGGTTCCGTTTTGGGTCGGTTCGGTTTCCCTGAATTTGAGTCCCGTCGGGTCGGGTCGGGTCGGGTCGGGTCGGGTCGGTTTTTAGGGAGTTCAGATCGGTGGGTTTTTTTTTGGGGGGGGGGGGAGGGGTTTGGTTTGGTTTCGGGTCGGTTCGGTTTCCCTTGAATTTGAGTCCCGTCAAGTCGGGTCGGGTAGGTTTTAGGGAGTGCAGATCGGTGGGGAGGGGGGGGGGGTTTGGGAGGAGGGGTTCGGTTCGGTTTCGGGTCGGTTCGGTTTCCCTTGAATTTGAGTCCCATCGGATCGGTAGGTTTTAGGGAGTTCAGAGCGGTTTTGTTTTGAATTCGGTTTATATCTTCAATGTTTCGTCGGGTCGGTTTGGCCTGGTCAACCCGACCCGATGCACAACAGTACATCACACATGTACATGATGTGCTTCGTTTACAAAGTTTACAGGAAAGAATTCCATACATGGACATCACTCACTTTTCCCTGCGATCACCTATCAGCCATCAGAAAGCGATAAATAGCCTAAAAAGTCAATTTAGTAGGAAAAATACTGAAGCTGAGAAAACACTAAGAATTTTTCAGACAAGTCTCATATAGTCATAGGGTTTGTGCACAGGGTGTCAAGTGATGTCCAGCTTTGAAATTCTTTCCAGGAAGGGCTCTATAACTAACTTGAGTTGTGCAGTTAGTGACAAGTCCAATTTTCGTCGAGTCTTCGGTAAGTCAAGTGCAAATAATTAATTAATAAAATGTTGAACTTAGATGAAATTGTTACTTTAATTGTTTTTACCATGTCCGGTTTTTTTTTGGGGGGGGGAAATTGATTCACACAAAACGAAGGAAAAAACACTTCAGCTTGTTACAAAAAAAAAATAATGTTACAATTACAATGCTATTGGAGGCAGGGCGGGGCTGGGTAATGTATCTTACCATATCTGACATTGTTCCACATTGAGAGAATTTTTGTCTTCATTTTCTCTGCTGAGATGTCTTCCGCATCCTCCTCACCATCACGCTGCATGACCGGCTCGGATACTTGTTGAGAGAGCATCGCATCATCTGATGCCGATCGCAGAAACGGTCTGCTTTTGTCAATGGCCTCTCTGTATTTCATTACAGAGGCTCGGTCGGTGGAGTTGCTGCGGAAATGTTGGCTGTCCGACAGTGAGCCCTGTCGCGATCGACTTTGGCTGTGAGTCCGGTGACTTCGTAACACCTTCTGGTTCTCATTTTCTACGGTGGAATCTACAGTCTTGTGCTCTTTGCTCTGAAGTAAACTTGGTTTCACTTTGCCATGATGAGATTTTTTGGTAGCTGTTGTTTCAGACTTACTACTTCCACTATTTGATGCAGGATTCATGTTGAATGTCTTTATATCCTTCCAAAACTTTCCAAAGGATGCATTTAGTGAATGGCGTGTACTTTGTTCTTTCGGCTGGTTGCGTGCATGGTGGGTGGAATGTACGTTTTCTGAAGGGGGATCGTCTTCCTTTTTTCGAAAATCCTCGCTAAGTGGTCTTTTTGTTTTGGAAACGGAATGCTTTTGATAGAGATGGGGTTTTTCCCGACGAGGTCTGGCAGTCTCTTGATTTGCACAACCCGTGTTGGCACCTGCAGTTCTGGTTGTTTGTAGCGAGGGTCCTTCATTGCTCCCGTTCCCTTCCGTATTTTCACCGGGGCCGCTCCCTTCCGCACCGCCCGCCGCGCCCGGCCGCTGTTGTTGTTGCTTGCCGCCGCCGATAACACTGTCGTTCATATCCATAATCTCGGCAAACGTCTCCTTAGTGCTTTTCCAAAACTCTGACATGGGTTTGTTTAGGAACTCCATTATTCTATGGATGACATTTCGACTTTTCAGTGGCCAATGGAGTTCTAGAGAAGGTTGAAAACGATGGGATGTTGGGTTGTACACAAATAACCTTCGTCCGTGTCATCTGTCATACACGGTGGCAGCCATGTTGAATTAGGATCAGTTATCATGTGACACATAGTACATGTACATAGTATAGTACGACGTACACGCAGCTAGCTAGAGCGCACAGAGTGCAGTGCAGCAGGGACACGCCCCCCCCCATTCAAAAACATAAACGTAAACATTCCTCCCCCCCCCCACCCCTCCCTTGCATTTATCAACGTGTAGTCTTTTCTGCCCCTATTTCACGTTACGTAGTCATTTCAATTGTGGTGCCGTTCAAGTAGAGATGTGAACTTGTTCTAGGCTGGAACCGAATTTTTGGAGAGTGATGAATCAAATTTGCAGGGGGGTGGGGCACTTAATTATTCTGGTGTGCTCTAAAGGGGTACGTAAGCAACCCCTAATAAAAAAATATCCCATTTAACATGGGAACCCATTGGAATTACATGGAGAATTGGCCACCATGTAGCACGGGATTTTTTTCCATGGGATTTTTTCCCATGGGGTTTTCTTATGAATGGCTTCAGAATGATTCCATATCATAGGCCCTATTTCCCAAGAGATTCAAAATTTTCCCACGGAACTTTTCCATAGCATCTTTCCTATAAGATATTTACAATTACATTTTTACCCCATGTGATAGTTATACTCTTCACCCAATGGGGATCGGTATCCGGCCATCGCGGGACTCGATGGGGATTGTCCCACTCAATAACCAATGTCTATATATATTGCTCCTTTACCACTTTTCAAGTTGTACCATATTGTTACCGTGTCCCAATTTACTTTCCAGTCATAATTTCCAATCATAATAATAAATGTTTCCAATCATAATAAATAACTGCATTAAAATTAGTCACAGATCTATAATCTGCACATTTTAGGCTGCATGCTGCATTTGACTTCACTTATCTTTTCGGAAAAAAAGTAGGCTGCAAAAAAATGCTTTTGTTTTCGTTCTTTCGAAGAAGTTTTTTTTTCTATAATCTTCACAATAATTATTTTAAAATGTCCTGTTCCGAATTCCATGCTCTATGCGGAAACATAGTTGCTGTGATTAGGGCGACATTACTAACACATTGTCGTAAAAGTTGGTATCTGAAAATTTCTATGCAGAACCCCCTATACCTCACGGTATACCAAATGTAACTCTGACACCGTGGCACCTTTCAAAGAATATGCCTTTGAATGAACATGACAGGAAGGGAAAAAAAGAGAAAAAGAAACTGAGAAGAAGAGGCGCGAAGTCATAGTTAGTGGTGTACATTTAATGGGTGGGGGGGGGGGGCAAAATGTCCCTGCCCCCCTCTAAAACTGATAAATCGAGATTTTGTTGAGAAATACAGGATTTTTGGGGTGAAAAATATGTTTTGCCCCCCTCTAGAAAAAAATCCTGACGCCGCCCATGATGACAACTAGTTATAAAAGATCCAGAGATATATCATACTCGGCAATATAGCGGATAGTCAGTGAAAGATCTTGGCTGGTGTGTACAAAGTAACGTTAAAATTAGTGTACAGTCGTTTTCCTATAGTTCCGGATAGCAAACATCATTCAGGCTGCTTTCGGCTCAACTACTCCACGAATTCAAGTGACATTGATTTAAAAGTTTACCTTGAGTGATGGAGATACCACAAAATAATTTTCAAAATTTAAGCTCTTTTTATTTTGATTTACGACGTCAAAAGTACCGATGTCACTTTTCCTAGTTCCGGATCGGTTCATCAGTTCCGAATCGAGCAAAACTGCCTCACGCGAAAAAAAAATCACGCGAGAAATTTTTTTTCAGCCAGAACCAACCGAATCAAGCATATTTTCTGATAAAGTATTATTTCATTTTCATTCAAGAGAATTCCAGCAAATTTTAAAAAGAGAAAAAAACGCAAATGATTTTGAAACTTTTGTCTGCAGCGCAACAGCTCGAACTCACGCACGGACCGAAAATCTTTGACCCAGCACAGAATACGTCACACAAAATCGATTATCGCGCGTGTAGTTGGGTCGTAAGTGCACGCGCTATCCGGAACTAGGCAAAAGCATACGGTCATTCGTTGGCGAATTTTCAAAGACTTTACAACTTTATATTTGGATTCAACAAGCATTCGATGGAAGAGCTTATACGACTGTAGTGTATGAATAAAATATTCGAAATCACACGGTACAATTGATATACCGAGGAGAAAATTTATCGTCGATTCGCAGCTCCCGCGATTTTCTAAAAACCGTCCAAACATGTCGAAGTGCGAGTCGGAAATCTGGCCAAAATTCCTCTTCTAAATATTTTATCGGAAAAATCTTTGTGTATCAAGGAGCTTACATTTTTCTTTTCAAAATGCTCATCGTCAGAAAAAAATTATTGGAGACTAATCCAAAAGAGGTAGGTTTTTATTTGAAGCTATCCGGAACTAGGAAAAATCCGGAACTAGGAAAACGACTGTATCTAATTTATTTTATTTTTTGATTTTATATAGGATACTTTTTAGAAGGGAATTACGAAGGTGAATCATCTAGGCGAGGAGGATATTTTTAGAGGGGAATTACGGAGGAGACTAACAATCTTTGCATGGAGGATTTTTAATTTTAATTTTTTTTTTATTGATTGATTTATTTATTGTTTTAATTTTTTATTTTGTTTTTAATATTTAATTTTATTTATTTTTTGATTTATTATTATTCTTCATTTTAGAGAGAACGATGAAGAAGACTACATTTATGGTTTGTAAAAGTGCCATTAGGTTTCGCCACGAGAATGCACGACCTACTCGAAAAGAATTTTTATGATGTTTAAGAGAAAAATTTGGTTTGTTTTGAGGAGGAAGGAAGAAAGGAAGGAACGGAAAATGGAGATCTCAGGATAAGTAACTGTCATTACGGAGGAATGTAATGAGGAAGGAAGTATGACTGTTAACAAGATTGGAATAAGAAAAAAGTGGAAAGGTCTCCTTACTCTCGGGCCAGCATATAACATTCTTATTTAATGATCGTTAACTTGGTTATCGTTAAGATCGGAGTAAACCTAAAGTTTACACAACCTAGATATACCTCACGGTATACCAAACGTTAACTCTGACACCGTGGTAACAAGGAGGTTTCGACCTTTCAAAGAAGATGCCTTTGAATGAACATGACAGGAAGGGGAAAACAAGAGAAAAAGAAAAGAAGAAGAGGCGCAAAGTCATAGTGGTGTAAATTTAATGGGTGGGGGGGGCAAAATGTCCCTGCCCCCCTCTAAAACTGATAAATCGAGATTATGTTGAGAAATACAGGATTTTTTGGGTGGAAAATATGTTTTGCCCCCCTCTAGAAAAAATCCTGACGCCGCCCATGATGACAACTAGTTATAAAAGATCCAGAGATATATCATACTCGGCAATAGTGAAAGAACTTGGGTTAATAAGTACACAGGCGTGTCAGAGTCAGGGGAGACACCAGAATGCCCAGGTTCAACTTATCGGGGACGCGGGTGCTGATTGCTGACCTCCCCAGAGTCCAGCGGGGTCCATCATGGGATGCAGCGGCGGAACAGGCCGGCACGACCAAACATCAGAACCACATTTGCCGAGGCGAATACACTGCTGACAGAAGTAGGTTTAGAAATGGCCAGAGTGTCTTAAATTAAATTGAATTCTACATGGGATTGATGACAGAATCAATCACGACGCTTTTTGACGCAATTTTTGTCAATTTTGAACAAAACGTTACTACTTTGGGCAAGTTGGAACAGAGAAACGGAAAGAATTATGCTCAGACGCCTTTTTTTGTTGTGTACAAGTTTAAAAGTCACTCTTTACAAACGTCTAATCTATCGGACGGTTTATTTTCCAACGAGCTTGGGAAAGGAACATGAATAAAACTGCTAGAAACTGCTTACTGACTTGACTGACCTGAAATATACCAGTCAAAACAGAACGAAGGCCAGCTAAACTCTTTTGAAATTGGAGAAACGATACTGCATTATTTCCATTAAAAGTGACATGTACTCAGCCCCTATTCCCGTCTACTCTATAGACTATAGGAATTCATACTGAGTCGGAACTGGACGCTCTGGTTCCTCTCAGAAGCCCCTGTTCTAAAAGAGACCGAGTTAATGTTTCTTCCTTCTTTCTCTTCAGGTGAACACGCCCACACCCAAGCTCGTCACTGCACCGACTCCGCTCCGGAGAACGCGTCCCCGTACGGGCCCGGATTGGACTCGGATTTCGGTGCCAGCAGCGCAGACATTCCGCACTTCACCGTGTCAACAGCTTGAACGTTACCGCGGACACGTCTGTACGGGACACTACCTACGAGTTGGACACGTACGACCCGGCGTACGTGAATCGTACGGTGAGGTACGTGGACGGCGCGTATTTCCCGGTGCTACAAAAGAGACAAATTTGGAACAAAAGGGGTATTTCGAATTTTCATGGATCAGTTGCGTTCAGCTGACATCTTGGAGGTCTTTTCTTTAAATCAGTAACAATGAATGCACAAGGCGTTCTTTCAACAAAGATTAATTAAATTCAAGCAAATTAGTTGCCCAGTGAGTTTTTATAAGTCAATTGGGAAAGAATGTTGCATCCTGACGTCACTTTTTTCCCATGATAAATGTATCTCAATGAAGGTCAGTCATTGCAAACAATTTTGATAGACATGAATCTGGGACTGAGAAACATTTCCAATTTTGTTAGAAAATACTTTGAAAGTGCACTCTCCATAGAAAGTGGCGTCAGGATACATTCTTTCCGTTAAGTGAGTCATTTAAGTTTAGTGTCATAGGATGATGCTAATTCTTAACATTATTTTTCATTTTTTGTTATATTTGTTTTAATGGAAACAGAAACGTAATACTGTACTGAATTTTATTTGTACTTGCAGGAATTATGCAAGGTTAAAGTTTGAGTTTGTACAGGGGTGTGAGATTTCAGCTTTCAAGCTGATTTCAGCTTTTTTTGTTTTGGATTTCAGCTTTTTTCCCTCACTTGCTGTGTACACAAGTATAGGAGATTTCCAAAGTTCAGCTTTGTTTTACACCTTTTTCAGCTGTTTTCAGCTATTTTTATCGGTGGTCTCTCACATCCCTGTTTGTATGAGTATTTTGGGGAAAAATTGACAAAAGTAATGAATCAGGCTGAATATGGCAGTTGGTACAAATTCTGTTATATATTATTTCTTAAGAGAAAATAAATTATGCCTAGTCGAATGTATCTATATAGATAAATGAAATAAATGTTTCAACACTTCCAAAAAGTATCACTACTTTTGTTGCTAGACGATCACTCTACTATTTTTTTTTTACAAAAATATACAAATATTGAAATTTTTCTTCAAAACTACAATATCTGTAAATATATGTACCACAATTTAATTAATGGGATTGAAATTGTAGTCATGAAGGGAAAATTTCATTTCCTTTTGTAAGGGGAAAACACTATATTTGGGTCAAGAAACTTATTGATCTAAAAAAAAATAGCAATATCTTCAACAAATCATGATCCTCTTTCGTTTTTCTTCAATCTTATAAATATATATGAAAAAATCCAACACAGTTACATAGATACACTTCAAAAGTTTCTGTTATATTTATAACGGAAATTTGAGGAAAAAAAACCGGTTATAAACAAATTGCACGCGCATAAAAAAAACATTGATTTTTACAGAATTTGTTTTATGAATTAAAAACTATATACATCTAGTCACATAATTACTTCAAATATTTACATTTCACTAAACGATCTGAAAGACAAGGTTTAATAAGTACTGAAGGTTTAAGGTATGGATGAAAACACAATAATCGTAACAGTATAAGCTGTGAAGATGAGATAAACGCACTTCATAAAAATAACTCTTAAAAAGTTCTAATGTTTTCTGAATGTTTTTTTTCTTTTCTGAAAGACAAGGTTTTACATAAATATAGAATGTTGTCATGTTCGTACAAAAATACATATTTAAAACCCGATTGTGGCGAGACGACACACAAATATAATGGAGCTATGCACTTGTCTTTAGGTGGAAAACAGCTGTTGCATTAATTCTCCTTTTGTTTGACCAGTCACAGACTGTCAAAAATTCAATCCTGTTCCCCTGCCATGCCTTTTACAGGCTAGTCACCAACAGTCAGATCGTATTTCAGTAGGCACTGTGACAGTCAAATTCCATCAACAGACAAAAAGCAGGTGACTGGTACTAGGCACAGTTGGCTTATCAATCTCCTACAGTCAAAGGGGTGTAGGGGGCTCTGGATAGAGATAGTATACCGTTGCTGTCTGTCAGCTGCATTCTCCTGGTAGAGTGGACAGGCATCACTGGTTCTCATCCATCTCCTAAATCTCTCACGTGCTGGCTCCAAGTGCCACACCCCGGTATACCGCTTCAGCTGGCGGGCGAAACCACGTGAGAGGGTGGTGTCTATACACTGCACCACTGGGCCGATGAGCTACATCAGAGAGCCAACGACCAGGGCGGAGGAGGTCAACGTCTGACCCAACGGCCACGTGTAAAGGAGTCAACCTTCCAAATCAGGAGTGGAGCCCCGAAGGCGGACTGGTACCTTGCAAACACCGTTTCGGCAGCTCCTGCAGCCAAGCTGGTGCCAAACGTCATGCTTCGCATTCCTTTGGATCCCATCAGCAAGGCCGAGAGGGGGATTCTGACGCATGGGCAACCCAGGATCTCCGTACTTCATGCCCAGGCTTGTGCCCTGGAGAGACCACTCCAGCCTCACCCTAGAGTGAGGAAACAACACGGCAGCTGGAAGTTACGGGTTATAATTAAGTCCCATCCAATTGGCGTAGGAAACGGGGCGCCACGGGCCAGCTTCAACGGTGGGAGGAACCATCGCGTTCCATTGGTCTGCTACCGCCCGCCTCAAGCCGGGCAGCCCCTGGCCAGTAAGGTGTCGACCCGCCAATGTCCATCTGCCTCATTGGGTGCTTGGGGCTTAGTGTAAAGCACGACAAGCGGACGTTAACTGCGCACCAGACAAACAAGGAAAGATTGAAACGAAGATGCCAGCTCTTCGCATATCAAGCTAGAATGTTAGAACCATGCGCACAGGGCTCTCAGACAGCCTTGACCACATTGACGACTCTCGCAAGACCGCCATCATCGACCATGAGCTCGACCGACTCAATGTCGACATTGCTGCTCTCCAAGAGACACGGCTTGCTGACTGTGGTTCCCTAAGGAAGAAAAATTACACTTTCTTCTGGCATGGCAAGAGCACAGAAGAGACCCAAGAACACGGCGTTGGCTTTGCAGTGAAAAACACCCTGATTGCCACAACTGTACCACCGACAGGAGGCTCCGAACGCATCCTTGCCATCCGTATATCCACCAGCAGTGGACCAGCCAATCTGCTGAGCGTTTATGCCCCAACCCTCTGCTCTCCCCCTGAGTCAAAAGACAAGTTCTACGAGGAGCTTGACATGGCCATCAGCACCATCCCAAAGAACGAGCACCTGTTCCTCCTGGGGGACTTCAATGCTAGGGTTAATTGGCGCCGACCACGAATCCTGGCCAGACTGCCTTGGACACTTCGGAGTGGGGAGTATAAACGAGAATGGGCAGAGACTGCTAGAGTTGTGCTGCTATCATCAGCTCTGCATCACCAACACCTTTTTCCAGACTAAGCCATTCAGCACAGGGTCTCCTGGAGACACCCAAGATCCAAACGCTGGCACCAGCTCGACATCATCAAGAGACGAGAGGCACTCAACTTTGTCCACTTCCACCTGCACTTTTCATAGCGCGGACTGTGAAACGGACCGCTCCCTCATCCTCAGTAAGGTCAAGCTACAGCCCAGGCAGATCCACCATGCCAAGCAGAAGGCACGTCCCAGCATCAACGCCAGCCACTCCATAAATCCAACTGTCACCCAGCTCTTCCCCACCTCACTTGATCAAGCACTCTCCTCCTCCAATCAGCAAAGTGCCGTGGACAAGTGAAACTGCCTGCGTGACATCATTTATGACCAAGCCCTCGCAGCATATGGCAAGAAAGTGAGGAAAAATGCAGACTGGTTTGTGGCCAATGGAGCGGAGATGCATGGAGCCAGTTATCGAGGCCAAGCGCACCGCCTTCCTCAAGTACAAAAATAATCCATCGACGAGGAACCTTGAGGCTCTTAGAAAAGCCAGGGGCAAGGCGCAGCAAACAGCACGACACTGCGCAAACAACTACTGGCTCAAACTCTCCTCCAGCATACAAGCCGCCTCCGACACAGGTGACATCAGGGGCATGTACGAAAGGATCATTAGCAAGCAACAGGTTCCTCCATCAAAAAAATGGCGCCTCTCAAATCCAAGTCCGGTGAAGTCATCACCGACAGCAACAAACAGATGGAAAGGTGGGCTGAGCACTACATGGAGTAATATGCCACAAAAAACACAGTGTCAGAAGAGGCTCTGAATGGCATCGCAAGCCTGGCTGTGATGGAGGAGCTTGACAAAGGACCCTACGAAGAGGAGCTTAGCAAAGCCATTGACAGACTCGCTTGCGGCAAGGCCCCAGGTGCTGATGGGATAACACCTGACATCATCCAACTTGGGAAACCAACCCTTTTGCCATATCTTCACGACCTCCTCTGCCTTTGCTGGAATGAAGAAGCCGTCCCCCAGGACATGTGTGACGCCAAAATCGTCACGCTGTACAAGAACAAGGGTGACCGCAACGACTGTAACAACTACCGCGGCATCTCTCTGCTCAGCACTGTGGGAAAGGTCTTCACACGCGTTGCCCTTATCAGGCTCCAGCTTCTGGCAGAGCGCGTCCACCCTGAGTCACAGTGTGGCTTCAGGGCAGCAAGATCCACGGTGGATGATCTATCTTCAACCTTCGACAACTGCAGGAGAAATGCTGTGAACAGAGGAGACCCCTGTTTCTCGCTTTCGTCGACCTCACAAAGGCCTTTGACCTTGTTAGCAGAGATGGTCTCTTCAAGCTGCTTGCAAAGATCGGTTGCCCTCCAAAACTTCTCAGCATCGTGACATCATTGCACAACAACATGCAAGGCTCAGTCTGTTGTGATGGAGAAACTTCAGAGGCCTTCCCAATCCGCAGTGGAGTGAAGCAGGGCTGTGTTCTTGCTCTTCGGAATTTTCTTCTCTCTCCTGCTGTCATTTACATTTGGCTCATCCCCTGAAGGCGTCTACCTATACACTCAAGAGCTGATGGCAAACTCTTTAACCTTGCCCGCCTGAGGTCCAAGACGAAAGTGATCAGTGTACTCCTGAGGGAAATGCTATTTGTAGATTGCAGCTCTAGCATCCCACACAGAGACAGGGCTCCAGCAGTTGGTGGACAGGCTCTCTTATGCATGCAAGGAGTTCGCCCTCACCATCAGCATTAAGAAGACCCATGTCATGGGCCAAGAAGTCGAAAACACACCCTCCATCTCTATTGACAACAAGACTCTAGACTGTGTGGGCACCTTCACGTACCTCGGCTCAACAGTCTCCAGCAACCTGTCACTTGACGCAGAACTGAGTACCCGTCTTGCCATGGCCGCCAGAGTGGCCAGGCTGGCAAAGAGAGTGTGGACAAGAACCTAACTGTGTGCACAAAACTCCAGGTCTACCATTGTAGCATGCGTCATCAGCATTCTGCTATATGACAGTGAGGCCTGGACCACCTACACTAGACAAGAAAAACGGCTGAACAGCTTCCAACTGCGCTGCCTACACCACGTCCTTGGCATCACATGGCAAAGTACCCAACACAGAAGTCCTGGAACGCGCCCACTCCACCAGTATGTTCGCCATGTTGAGCCAGCGCCGCCTCAGATGGCTCGGTCGATGGAATCCAGCCGTCTTCCAAGGGCCATCCTGTATGGCGAGCTTTCGTCAGGCTCCAGGCCAATTGGTCATCCCAACCTACGCTTCAAGGACGTCTGTAAACGCAACATGAGGCAGGCTGGCATAGACCCCAACAGCGGGAGGAAGCCACCCAGGATCGCAGTGCTTGGAGGCAGACAGTTGCCGCAGGGGTCCACCGCGCTGAGGAGAGGCGCACCTTCTTGCTGCAGGGGCAGAGGCAGAGGAGGAAATTGCGAGTAGCAGCCCCCACCCCTGAGTCAGCCCCCTCTCCTTTCGTCTGCGCTAACTGCGGCAGAGACTGTCATGCAAGAATTGGACTGCTCAGCCACAGCTGCCGCTGCAACAAAGACGACAACCCCTGGGCGCAGTCCATCGTCAGTATTGACGGACGGATGCCTACTACAGTCAAAGCACAGCTGTATCAAAATTGATAACAGTCACAGCCAGTCAATCCTGCTTTATGAAGGCAGGGAGCGCTCAACTGTTAAAAACAGTCACCTGATTTATTTTGACTGCTGGCCTGAATGTTCTCCATGTGTATTATAAATCGTACAAATTTTTAATTGTATTATGAATCATTATTTTTGAACAAGTTGTGTTAATTCTGATGAAAGTTTAAAATGTCATCAAAATTGAGGTAGTTTCTCTTAAATGCCCCTTTGCTGGAAATGTTGGTGATTACGCGTTCGCGCATAAGGGCGTAAGCGCATACGCCCTTCTGCCAGGCACATGACAATTAAGAATCTGTTGTTCTCTCTTCGTGTCTCTATCCTCGGAATATATGTAAAACAAGAGCGCACTGGTTCGCAAAGTGTGTACGAGTAATTTGCCCAAACCAATGTTGTTTTCACGTGAGAGGAACGACCCAAGTATTGGCATACAACAGCCCTCGTATAGTAACGTTTGGCATGTTCCACCCATGAGGTTGTAGTTATGCATGTAGTCCATAATCATTGCAAACGCTGAGTTCTTAGAACAGTAGAAGACACTTCTACTAAATACTGTCGTCACAAGAACCTCAAGTAACATACTGCGCACTGGTTTGCATGTGTATGGTACAAAATGTGCATGACTAATTTGACCGCGCCAACGGCGTTTTTACATTTGAGGAAAGACCCAGTATAGGAGTACAACAGCGATCGTCTGTCCTTCAATGACAGCAATATTGGGCAATTTTTAATCCTGAGGGCGTTGTTATAAACAAAATCTGTAATCGTTGCAGCCCTGAATTCTGAAAACAGTAGAAGACTCTTCTCCTCAACACTGCCATCTTCTAGTTATTCTCAATTAGGTCGTTGTCATAAGTGCCTTCATCATCATCATTATCGGAATCTTCGTCACCAAGCGGGTCTTCGTCGTCATCGATGTCGACTCACTCGTCAGAAGTTTTGGTTCGCGTTGGGGTCCCTGGACCGTTGGTTGGCCTCCTTGGCCTCCCGGCGGGCCTTGATAAACAGATAGTTGGGCTCGTTGAGGCAGTTGCGGCATCGTTGGGTCCGTGGGTGGTGGTACCCGAACACCTAGGATGACAGTGAATAAAAAATTGCATTAGGAGAGAAACACAACGAGACTGAGACAAAGACAGAACTCCGAATACCAACTATACCAATTATGGCAATCAGCGTGTTTGATTGCTGTTCATTGTAAAGTAAGACGGACACGGCTAAGCTCAAGTTTAGGGGTTGTAATAGTTCACTGGTCCCACTGCACCGTACACCAGTTACCATAATGCTTATTGGGGAAAGTCTGGTTCCCTGACCATTCCCTAATGACTTAGGTAGCGATTGCTGCTCATTGCAAAGACCGCCACAGCTTGAGTATAGTGGTTGTAATAGTTCACTAGTCCCATATTGCACTGTTCACCAGTTTCCATAATGCATATTGTGGTATTAGTCTGGTTACCTGACTATTCCCTGATGACTTAGGTAGCAATTAACCACACTTTTTTTAATTGAAAGCGGGACACATCTACCACTGGGCGAGTAATACGATTACTCAAGTACTCGCGAGTATTTGTGCTACTCGTTATTCTACTGGTGGTTTTTCATCTACTCGAGTACTCATCCTGGCGCGAGTAGAAGCAGGTACTCGCGAATAGCAATTTAGGGTTTAGGGGTCACGGCTTAATACGTCCCCTAGCAGGGAATCACTCCCTCCACCTCTCTCTCCCTGGGATTCCATTCCTCAAAAAAGAATTCAAGTAAATGACCCAAAACGTCGCACAGTAAGGATATCTCAGTGCTGAAGATTGTGGTACGTACGTGACTTGCACGCTATTTGCTTGTAAAAGTTACTTCATGCCATATTAATGTATATATCATTTTTCTGCTTTTATGGGAATTAGGTTAACTACTCGCGAGTAGTCGACTTCTTGTGAGTAATTTCTTTGCAAGTACTTCAAAGATGAAACTGGCCTTGGCCAAAAAAAATCTGAAATTGGACCTTGGGTCCGAGCTGCCACAGCGTCATGCATACAGTGCAGTGCAACGCAGCGCATCAACATGGGACCCAGTGAATTTTTTCAAGTTATAGGTCAGTATTTAACCTTTTCTCCAGCCGGAAAAGGATCTGATCTGTGTTGGCCCTACGTGTTTCTACTGTAGAATCACTCCATTCATGACTGGTAAAAGAGATTAAAACATTATTTTGTGGAAAAATCATTAAATAATCTTTTTGTGGGATCGTTAAAAAATCTGAAATTTCATTGGAAAAGTTTTAAAAATCTGATTTCAGATTAAAATTTGAAAAGTTTCATCTCTGGTACTTGAGTAGAAAAATCCACTACTTACCCACTAAAAAGTTTGCTTTCTGGGTAAATTTCACCTCTCCTAAAGTAGAATTATGGTTTTAGCACAATTATGTGCAAAGTCAAAAAAAAAACTAAAACAATTGAAAACCGATCACGAGGAAGATACACTGCCAACACTCGCCAGTTTTTGCTTAGCATAAATCTCCTACACTCAGCACATGTTCACCAGCCTCACAAAATTAGACTAAAATTTTACTAAAAAGTGTTGGAGTTGACATGTACTTACTTCTACGCACACGTCCTGCCATCGGATGAAGTAGTCATAAGCCTGTTGGTTCTTGCCCAGATCTTCATACATGATACCCGTATTCAGTAGTATCCGACTTGCCAGAACGCTGTACTCCCCGTACGCTTGAAGGCACAGATCAATAGCCTCTAAATAATACTGAAAAATAAAACAAAATCTTTCACAACTGAACGAAGAAAGTGTTGAGTTGAGTCAACAGATTCTAGGCACAAGTACCCCCTCAACAGTTGAAAAAGAAGAGTTGGGGGAGACCACTGTGAGAGACATTGTACAGGGATCAAATGAGAATGTCAATTTAAAAAAAGGTCTGAACATTTATAAAGTGTCTGAAAGATGCATATCTTTCTCTACTAATAATGTCTTAGGCCAAAATAAAAAGGCTCCGGTTTCTGGTCTGCGGGCACGTCGCCATATAGCCATGCACGTCGGCAAAAGTAAAAAAAAATTCAATGTAAGATGATGTCTCAAAACCGCCAAACTCACTGGTTTGACTGGAATCCTGCTGCTGCACAATTTTAACGTCCTTTTAGATGGGGTTACGATCGAGTATAAGCTTTATGTGGCCTCTCTGGACTCCCATATATTTTGCACTAAATTGCGTCGGGCACCATTTGCAGTCATCAGCCGACATTTGAAGAAAAACAATTAAAAAAAAATAAAAAGCCGCATCGCCGCACCACTTTGGGGCAAGCTCCATACCAGAAACCGAAGACTTTTTTTATTGGCCTTAATAACGTCTTTTTTCTCTCAGATTCAATGTCTTTCTGTCTGATCAGACAAAAGTCTGAAAAATCTCATGTCTGATTTGAATGCATTGCATGACGCTCTCATAAGCACTATGGATTTGTGCGCATTCAGAACAAGATCAGTTGTGCGTACTTCGTGCCATGCGCACATGAACCAGTACGCACAGTCTTTTTTTACTATACGCCTGAGGTCAACTATTGTGTTTTCCTTTGTCCCTCTAATATAACACTTTCCCATAGACTTAACACATAACCGTACGATCGAGGACCGGTTTTAACAATAGGCACTGTCGTCCGAGGGTCAAAGGCTCCTTTGTGCTCCTTTTGTTGTCTGTCCTCGAGCGTAATACAATACAAGAGCGCGCACATGATGTGTCATCTGCTGTTCACGCACAAAATCATAAGATAACAGAATATTTGGTTATACCATGGTCAATAGAGGGCAGTGTAAATACGGTTCAAGAAAAACCATAAATTTTAGACAAAGGGAGAAAGTGATCGGCTACCTTCTTTTGTTCTTCGCTCCCACGTTTTTCCAACACACCTTTCGTCATGATAGCGTCGGCTAGGTGACCCACGTCATCGAGCTGAAAGAAAAAAAACCAAGAAATCACACAATTATTCCTCTGAAATCCTAAAGCTCACAGATCATTCGAAAACCCAGCAGAGTTCTGGAAGATTTTGCAGGATTAGGGAAAGTAGAGCTTAAAGATGCATTCCCTTCAGCTTAAAGGTGCATTCCCTACAGCTTAAAGATGCATTCCCAAGAGCTTGAAGATGCATTCCCTAGAGCTTAAAGATGCATTCCCTAGAGCTTGAAGATGCATTCCCTACAGCTTAAAGATGCATTCCCTACAGCTTAAAGATGCATTCCCTACAGCTTAAAGATGCATTCCCAAGAGCTTAAAGATGCTTCTGTGAATCTGTCTTCAAT